ATATAATATATATATGCACACACACATCAATAACCGTAAATACATCCTATTAATTAAACACTTAATTATCGTATCCCGTATCGTGTCCTGCTCAAGACACGAGATTACTATACCTAAGAATATAATAGGGAGTGTCTCGCGGACGATTATAAAAAACTGTATAACAGAATGCTTATGTCTATCGAGAGAAACGCTAGTTCACGTTATCGTGTTTACCTTCCCTCGCATATCTCACGCGCTATCAGAAAAAATAGACTCACGACGATGGATTAACCTTTAAAGCACCGATACTCTACGCAGTTTTCCCGTCGCCTCTGGGAATTAATTTTAGACGATATCTTCAATTCATCTTAAAATATCCCGTAAATGATTCATGACATCGGCAAACATATTGTGTAAGAGATCTTACAGTATATCTTATTAACAAAACGAAAGAAATAGCTTTTTCTATTGCTAAAGTAAATTATATTTCTACAAAATTATCGTTAGTTCCATCTATCTAAACGCCTAAATGCCTTGAAAATTGATCAAATGTATAAAATATTTTTCGACGTTTGGGATTAACATTAATAAAATTATTAATTATTGAGTACACCGTTATTTTAGAACGCTCGATCTTATAAATGCATAATTTACGTCTGAATTATCGTAACGATCGAACAAAATGATCGTATGGTAGGGATCGTTAAGTAGAAATGTGCGATACACGCGATACGTTGTATGATATAAGCTCGCAGTATCTTGTAACGTAGTTACGTTTGATAAAATCTGTGGCAAACGCCATTAATGTATCTTGTCCTCGGGTTATTCTCGGAAATTTTTAAATTAATAAATCCGTTCAGATGGAAGCGTTATATCATTAACAATAGGATTTATTTCTTACCGCGAGATTAAGGCGAGATCATGAATTTCCGAACGCGTACTATTACGAAGTGGAATACGATGAAACATATCAGCGTCCAAGTGGATAAGGCAAATTCATTCTCGTTGAACATCAGTATTTCGAGAATCACTAAAAAAGGTGTCTTAACTATTTCAATTGTCGACCGTACGAGGTGCAAAATCAACAGATTTTTAGACGAAACGTAATGTTATTTGTTTAATTTTTAAATATTTCTGAAAAATTTCTGAAAAAAATTTCTTTCTAACGAGTTCTAAATGTAGATTGATAAATGATTAAAGATATTAATTTTTTGTTGTGCTAACATTTCTTTTTTTTCTATTTTTCATATTTGTAATCTAAATTTCTTAAATAAACGATAAAAGTAATATTATAATTATACGTTTCAAAAGCTATAAAAAAGCTATAATACAAATATAGAAACTGAAAAATATTCATTAATTATGTCAATCTTTCTACATTTTTTTACACAACTTATTAAAGATTAATATCTTTGGAGATTATTTTTTAAAAAGTTATAAGTCTTTGTTATAAATAAAATTAATTAATTATTTTATTTTATATTGTTAGTCTAATAAACTTTTTTATTGTGCCTCGTAAGGTGACAAAACTTAAGCGTGAGCAAGGGCTGTAGATATTCGAGTAATTCTGTTATTCGGATAATTCGAATAAACTTGAACATGAGACTTCTTCATGCGATAAAAAAATAGCTGAATATTTCAAGTATCTGAAGATCAAGTTACAGCCTGCGTTACTCGTTCGTTTATTCAAATATGTATGTACAAATAGTAAATCTGTGTTAAATTGGTCAGAAGTATCATAAATCTAATAAATATGAAAATATATGCACTGCATAGTGACGGTATCAGTACAAACACGGCGATAATTCAACTGTTTTGAAAAAGTATGTGATATTCGAAGTACTCGAATTATTCGACTATTCGCTTTATCTCAAGTAGAATTATTCGAATCTCAAGATCGAATTGCAACGACATCTAAATATTCAACACGCACCAGGATTTTAAATTCACTTTACGTAGCTCTATTATAAATGTTTCTCTTGTTATATTTATTTATTACAACATCTCCTTGCATGTATATCTAATTTACAAACGCAACGAACGTAGTTTCTCATCACACACTAATTAAAGCCTTCGTTACTTCTCGTAATTAAATACCACAATTATATAGACAATTATTCAATGCGATTCTCAGGAAAATGATCGAACACGGAAATGTGAATTTTCACCAGCAGGTTCATCGTTCTCGTTAGTTGCCTCGCGCAACACAAATCTCGTGAACGAAGGTCTCTAAAAATTACAAAAAAAAAATTTCTTTCAAGTGCGTGTGCGTACAGAAGGTACTCCGCGCGTGCAACGAAAATCGATAATAGTAATTTACAATCTATAAAAGAGATCTTTGACGGATTGATGAACCTGGAACGTGTACAAATGCATATGCCGCTGTGTAGTTTATAACAATATAGCAACAATGGATATACATATATAATACGTACATGCAGACGGAGCAGATAGACTTACGTTTGATCCTTACATGCGTGGATTATACTCATGCTCATCCTCCTGATTATTTCATTACGCATATTCGCCATTTCATGTACCATTTTATAGTTACTGTCCGTTGTTATCGCTAGGTTATTGCAATTAAATTAACATAATTTCGGTGAGTTGCCGATGCTACAGACATCAAAATGTACTTTACATCAATTTGTATCTATATTTAGAAATCGTCCCGCGCGCGCATATTGTGTGTGTGTGTGTGTGTGTGTGTGTGTGTGTGTGTGTGTTGTAGT